GGGGGGGGGGGGGGGCTGTAGGCATGTATTTCCCGTTATCCATTTCTTTCAGACGAAAAACACACACAATACTTCATCCGCATATTTCCATGCCGCTGTTTATAATTGGAGGGTATCGCAAGCAACGACACAATATTGTTGGCGCTCACAACAGATTGCGTTGGCAAAATCCTCCTTAACAATGGGCCACAGAATGTAGGACTAAAGTAAAATGGATTTTGCAGCCCGTATATAATTAAAATGAGCCTATAACTTGTAACAAAAATGCTACAATAAACTCCTCCCCACCACCTGACTCGAGGGCACCGCTGGCCCCGAGCATGAGTATTGCGTACTGTATAAAGAATTCGTGTTTATTGCATATATTTAGGGTTCTGGGTCTATTGTATTTGGGATAAGATCCCTCCCCTCCACCCTTCCCTCCCTGTCACTATTCCCCGTGGGGCACTGGCTCGAGGACCGTCATCGAGGAGCACCAACGCAGACCTTCTTCGAGGACACATCATCCCTGGATGGAGCGTGAGAGTGGCTGCGGCCGAGGCAACGGAGAGCAGGGATGGCATAGACGGAAGGAGCAGCTGATCGAGACTCCCGTGGGATGATGCCCGCCAGTCTGCCACCATCGCCACAGAGATGCAGCCCCGGTGCAGTCCCGTCACACGGGTAGTAAAGAGGCTCGTGTGACAGCAGTGGAGCCCGCTCCCTCCGAAACCGTGGATGTGCCTGGGAGGAATTTTGACAGGCCTGCAGGCCGCCATGTTGACCGGCGCGCGCAGCCAGCTCGCGCGCCGGCGAAGCCAGCGCCGTGCCGCCTGCCACGGGGCCCTGGAACGCCCGGCAGCCCAGCAAAATATGAAGAGGACCAATGTCCTGGCATGCCGGACTGCCGACTAATGCCAGAGAGCGTAGCCCTCTCAGCTGAGCAGCCCCAGCCAATCAACGAGGCCTTGGAGGCCCACGAGGGCCAGAATGACCGGAAATTTCGCGACTTCGCGGCAGGGTAGCGTGCGAGATAGTGTGGTATTGCGAATTGTGTGAGAGTGTGAAACCTTTTGGATTATATAGAGTGTTGCGGAATCGTTGCGTGAGTATTGAGTGATTGAGTTTTCCCTTTTTGCTTTTGCGTTTTAAGAGATAGTAGATTCCTTTTTGGATTTAGCAAGCCGTCCCCACGTGGACCGGCCTTTTGCGTAGCTTTCTTTTTGAGTTTCAGCCTGGTTTTCAGCCAAACGCGTGCAATCAGTGGTATATTGCGTGCGTTCTAACTTAGTATCTTGCACCCTTTTTGGAAAACCATCGTGCCCTTTCCCTTCCCCGCCCGTTTTTGGATATTGTAACGCCCGAGGTATTTGTAAATAGCCATTATCGCGTTCGGGAACCTTCCTCCCTGAGACCCCTCACCTCTTCCCTGGCTAACCGTGTCTTTTCGAATTCTAGTAAATATTCGAGGACCTTCTGAGGTCACTCAACGGTGCTATGCCGTATAAGTAGCTGGCGCCCAAGTTATTGTGTTTGCGTATTATTTCTCGCCGGTAAGCCCTCCTGTCCCTCCTGCCCCTTTGCCAATACCATACCCATCCGTTCCCTGATTCCCCTCGCCCACTAACCAATTTAAAGATCCCTTCCGACACCACGTACTCCTGCGTGAGCCCCGCGTGTTATTGTCTAGTTTTGCGTGTTTAGAGCGATATAGTCTTCTAGAGTATTGGTTTCTGATTTCTTGTCTTTTCTATTTTTCTATGTATTTGCCTTCGTGTTATTAATTATATTCTTTTCTACCTTACCCCGTGTCCCCCTTTCTTTTTGCGTCCCCGTTCCCGCTTGTATTGCGATAGCTAGTTTGCGCGGACTCTGAGCTGTAATAATCCGCCCAGCACGTCACAAACTAATAATTTGAAGGCTTCGATATAAATTTATTATAATAACAGTAGTATAAGTTGAAGAGTTCTGGATATAGATTCCTGCACCGACATAATACCGACACTCCAGAGCCTTGGAAGGTGGGTGTTCGTACTAAGTTACCGTCGTGAGCTCTACGATTTCTGGAAGTGACCTCATCAGGACCCCTCGATTCCAAGAATTTTCGCTCGATTCCGGGAATTTTGCGTCACATTCCGGGAATTTTGCGCTCGATTCTAGGAATTACGCACGATCGAGAACCTTCTAGAACATTCTGGAAGCTTCGACGGTTCGTGTCCGTGCTAAGTCGGGAAGGATCGCTCCCAGAGCCGGCGGTCCTCTCGCGCGACGTTTTGAGACAGCCCCTTGCCCCCCACCCCGGAAAGCCTTCCAGAAGCTTCGACGGACCCGTGCACGTGCGTGCAGGTTTCGGACGTCAGCCCTCAGCCCGTTTGACCTCGAACGTTATCTCGCAGAATTGCGCAGCATCGCTGATGCAATCCTCCAGGAATTTTCCAGAACTTTTGTCCCTAACTTCATAGCGCAGGCTAGTGCGTAGCATCGGTAAATCAGAGAGAGAGAGAGACGAGCGGCATCCCCTTTGAGCTTATTCAATTTTTTGACTGGAAAAAGGTGTTTCCCCCACGAATATAGTGATAATTGGGAAAACGCTACTTAGATAAATTTGGCACTTCAGACTATCCTCCGGATAAAAAAATATTAGGAGTAATGAAGGACGAAAATAATAGTTGAATTTGTAGGGTTGCGTGCAAAATTATATTTTTTCAAAATTTTATGAGAAAAGCAAAGATAAGAAACGCGCGAAGGGAACCAAAGAATCTACATTAAAAATTTTTACTTTCGATGATTATATTCGAAAATTCAAAAGGGACATAACATCGTGATTATCGTAGGTCAATCCTTCGAGAACATTGTTAAACTATTTCAAGTCAACCTTTGGAGTGGGGGGAGGATATTGTCATGCTATAAGAAGTACCGTTTCGTGACATCTTCTGTCAGTAAATATTTGACAATCTTAGTTAGGCCTCAAATATTTCTGATAAAATGAGTAACTCTCAAACTTGTGTTGGGAATACTTCAGCTACACACGCCGCTCTGTATCACGAGGAAAAATCTTATGGGAAAGAGCATTGGACTTTGTGCTCGAACCCTGAAATGTACGAGCAATCTCAACGTTTTGATAAAATCTGTACGAAAATGTGTCCCGTGCGCCGTGCCGATGGCCTAAAACCGTTCGAAGGTATGGATACACCTGATCGTTTAGGTATGAGCGTCTCACTACCCGCTAAAACACCTGATAAAGAAAATGGGAAGCGGCAAAACGAGGATTGGAGTGACAATGTCCACAAACGACAAAAAGCAGACTTTAACAACGAAAAAGACAGCTTATTGTTTACGAAACCTGTGAGTTTGGATACCATGCCTGAGAAGTCTACTGCATCAGCATTACTATTGCTGATGATGCAAACGGTTTACAATTTGGATAATCGGAAGCGTATAGTCGTGGGTCTAGATATTTATAACGGATATCAGCCAACGCTACAAGTTATTAGTTGTGAGGGGGATTCCATCACACTTCTACCTTTGGATTGGCGACTTCTTCTTGAACACTTTGAGAATATCCTTAAACATTTTACAACTAATGTTACTGTACTAAAAAATAATAATGAATGGTTCAAAGTTCCTCTCGCAAATTGCAACATCGTAATATGCGAATTATATGGTGACCGTGCGATAAAGATAATATCGGGGAAAGACACTATTGTTTTCAGAAGACAATGCTTCGAAAGACTTTTAAAGCTCGAATCGTGTATATGTTCTGCTGTAACGCTCGCGGAAGATCATTATGTTACCGTAATTCGAACTCGTAATAGTTTTCTCAATGAGATTACAACGGCCTTTGAAACCGGAAAAATTTCGAATATCACGCCTAGTGCAGTGGTTGACCTTCTTGATTCACATTGTATATTCAATCACCTCTGTACAGAGTTAGTAACACTAGCAATACACGAGTTAGTAAATAGTGCACTCGCACGTTTAAATTGCACCTGATCCGAATGTAGACTTTAAATTACTGATTTCATTCCATTATCCTTGTTCTTTAAAATTTTTATGAAAGTGTTAAGTTTTTCAACGATAAGACAAATTCTTAATATCTTAAAATAAAAAAAACTGAAATATTTATTGTTCATAATTTTTTATTTATATGAATATTACATTTACCATAAACATATCGTACCCAAGTTAATCACCTCGTCTAATCCCAAACCTCCTCTTCCCTCTCTCTATCCTCCTCAGCTGCCACCACCACCACCTCCTCCGCCTCCTCAACCTCGGGCATCATACCCTGAGTGTATTGAAGTAATGTTTTTATAGAAATTTGTTTTAACTGAGTTGCTAATTAGACACCCTTACCTCTCGATAGATGTGAAATGGCACCTGGTGTACACGTAGCACCATTTGCCCGAAAGTATTTATGTAAAACCACCTTTGTACCTGGTTCCCCACCATCCCTTCGTCATCCATATTTTTGCAAATTTCCCGTAATATAATCGTTATTAATCTATCGTATATCCTAATTTCCTGATCCTCCGTTTCCTCAAATCCCTCTAGCACAACCTCGTTAACACGTTCATTACTTGGCGGCTTCATTCTGTAAAACTGATACTGTAGAACAAACACGGTCTACAGATCAATTCTTATGAGTAATTCGAGATCTATAGCGATAGTCCCCGTCTCCACGTACGTGTTTGCGGGCGTGATGACGTTCGGGTAAGGGTGTAGAGCTAAAGCTCATTCTGCTACAAGCTATCTGCGAGTGAGCGAGTGAGCAAGTGTCTTTGAAAATGGTGAAATCGCAAATTCTTGTAATTGTAAGTGTAGTTTCCAGTGTGTGCTAGGTAATGGTGATCGGAGAGTCTTAATTAATTTTTTCAATTTATTTTAGCTCAGAGGATATATTAATATCCAAAATATGATTAATTTGCGCGAGGCTCGACGACAGCGTCGTCAACTAAATTGCTGGACTGTTTTTGAGGAGGAAGATTGGGGAGGGGAAGACATCTTTTCCTAAAACTGGTACTGTAGAACAAACACGGTCTACAGATCAATTCTTATGAGTAATTCGAGATCTATAGCGATAGTTCCCGTCTCCACGTACGTGTTTGCGGGCGTGATAACGTTCGGGTAATGGTGCAGAGCTAAAGCTCATTCTGCTACAAGTTATCTGCGAGTGAAGGAGTGAGCAAGTGTCTTTGAAAATGGTGAAATCGCAAATTCTTGTAATTGTAAGTGTAGTTTCCAGTGTGTGCTAGGTAATGGTGATCGGAGAGTCTTAATTAATTTTTTCAATTTATTTTAGCTCAGAGGATATATTAATATCCAAAATATGATTAATTTGCGCGAGGCTCGACGACAGCGTCGTCAACTAAATGGCCGGACTGTTTTCGAGGAGGAAAATTGGGGAGGGGAAGACATCTTTTCAATAAGAGCCCTCCTCGGTCTTCCTCCTTATTGGAAAGAAGACGGCCGTTGGTGGTGGTAAGTTTCGAAAAATATGTGTATGTATATGATGAAGCGAAATACATGGTATATCTGGAAAAAATCTGATCTCTCTTGGAGAAGTAAATTGAAATCGTAGAGTGATCCAAATAAATTGTTTTCAGGGCTGAAATACCAGTTAAATTATTTGAAATCATCTTATTTTATGATATTGTATAAAGATATATATATAGAAGGAAATAGTGATGTGTAACGAGCTTCGTAAATCGATTATTGACTAAGTGCATGAGTAGCCCATTAATTTTTTAAAGTAGATTTCCTTCAAATGAAGCCTCGTAGAGAAGAAAATTCATTCTGCAGTCTCGATTTACCTTTCCAACAGACATCAGATCCTTTCCAGTTGTACCATGTATGTGGAGATTGGTAAATGTCAGATTTCTAACTCAGTATTTTTGCTTTTCAGGGAACTTAAAAATGAAGAAGTTCCATAATCCCACGGAAGGGCGTTTGTTGTACTCAAAATAGTGATTCAAAATAAAAATTTTTTTGCAATCCTAAAA